TTAAATTACTCAATACTGTATTAATCCAATATATTATTATTTTGAGGAGTGAGTATATGAATGAAGTCTGAGAAGTTGTTTTAAAATTGGGACAGATGATTCCACTGAGGGAAACTTGAAACTTCAACAAATCTACAGTCAACCCTTGATTTAGCGCCCAACATTTAGTGCCAACCTTGCTTAGTGTCACAAATTCCACCTGAACAAATCTATCTATTGCGTTCCTGAGGTAAACTTCGATTTAGTGCCAATAACTAACTTAGTGTTACATATAGTGTGTTCCCAAAACAAAAATGGGCAGAAACCAGTGGAATTCTGTGCTTTCCTCAGCTTCATGCATATTTTTCTTGGGGATCACGGGTAAGTAGATGTAAAGCTCAGCATTTACATTACAGTTTTTCAAAAACTTACATGTTGCAAAAACCTTACTTAGTAAAATTTTCTCTGAATAAACTAAAATTCTTCAGAGAGGGTTTTTCATTACTTCTGTAATGCTGCTCTGCTGCCATAATAATGACAGTTAATGATGGATTTTGAAGAAACTTCAGAACATAAAAACTTATTGTTGGATATTACTCGTATTGGTTAATGCTAAAGGACATGTGTGCAAAAATTTGAACCAGGAAAATATTTTCTAGAACAGAAGTGGAAAATGTTTTGAGATTTTAAAATCATTGTCTCTTTATTTTAGCCAAGAGGAAAGTAGAGACTTTTTGTTTGTGCCCATTATCCAGTCTATCCTTTCACAAGTCTTTTGAAATTAGGGTGTCTTTTTTAATTGCTTGCATAATGTCAACAGAAAAATTACTGACAATAAATTTCATGACCTCATCTTTTGGAATGTTTTGTGAAAGACCAGTTTGGAGACACTTTAAATGGTAAAAGTGTTCACTCATGAGGGCACCTTATACAACTGGAAAAATTGAATCAAATTGGCAATTTTTGTGACATGAATGATTGCCCCAAACATATTTGAACATCAGCTGGATCTTTTAGTCAAATCTGCAATCCTTGCACTCATTCTAATTTTCCCTTTGACCTGTATTATTGTGGTAAAATGAAAGGCAATTCTTGATATTGATGATTTTTTGATAGAAATAAGTGAGGAAGGGCAACTTCTAACCAAATCTTCATTCAATTGCCTTCAAGGAATTTTTTCAGAATTGTTGTGCATGGCTTCAAGAAGAGTTCAAATTGTGCCAATGATAAGGAGTTTTTTTAGATGTTCTCATGAGGATAAGTCAATTTATGAAAGAACCTAGCTTGTCAAAACCTGCACTAGAATAACAATTTCAATGAAAATGCTTGCTTAGAATCAGTCACTTTCTTTTCATAAATTTACTCTGGAGAGTTATTCATAGTGGGCTTGAAGAATAACTGAAGAAACTTTTGCCACTTGCTTATTTCTTAGCATTGGGAAATTATAAGAGAGTATGTGCATAAATGTAACTTTCATCTACAATATTTTTTTAGAGATTTATTGAGCCAATGGTCTACTTGCAACTAAATTTACTGGCTGAGAAACATTTGGGGCTTTTTATTTACAATGTTTATATTCACAAATTGCATAATTTGCTCATCATAAAATTAACCTTACTCCTAATCAAAAAAGGTTAATTTGATTTTCCTTTTTTAAGCTTTTTGCAACATGTGTGATGCACAGCATAGATCAAATTATTATTGTTCTCTGCTTGTTATACTGTAGCTTATTCTGATGCCAAAATATCAGATTCTGAGTGGCTTTCTTCTACACAGTTTTGTTTATATGAAGTACTGTAGACTGTATTTGAGTTTTTGTACCATACTGTATATCGAAGTTGAGGAAAAAATGTTTTCAAGTTTTAGAAGACTCATTCCCACCTTTAAATGATCAGGAGGGAGCCAATTAAATCTGCTCCATTCAAGTCCATGCAAAAACGTGATACGACAGACGGACGCTCTGGTCCAAGCACCGGCTATCTGTCCGCTACTCAGGGCCCCAAGTACAGTACTGTACCACCTTGCTGTACTACACCGGAAACAAATAACAGTGGCCTCTGTTTATTCGCTGACTTTCTTTGACTGTGTGTCTGTTCTTCCAACCCACTTGTATGTACGCACACATTACTGCTGGTTCTGCTTTTGGGGGTTGAACGAGATCAGTCTCAATCCAAGATGTAATCTTTATAGAAGTCGATCGCGATGGAGTTGGATTTTGAAGGCTGACGATGTGCAGTGATGATTGTTGTGTTAAGTTGTGCGCATTTTAATGTGTCTTCCAGGTTAAACCGAATATGCGCGGCTAAGTTCAGATAGGCCGGTACAGAGGACGGAATGGATGAAACGCATCAGGACTTCTGATGCCCGAACTGAATCTCGTTTTTCCGACCATGGATTCCTTGGAGTCGTCAGAATGCATGAACTGGACGAGCTTGCCAATACTTCACCTTCCGTCGTCGGATGGCTTTTGCCAGAATCCGATACCTCGCGGACGAACGACTGTTTTCCCGAAAACTCGGGAAAATATTCTGGATATCACTCAACGAAAGATCAGATCAACCCAAGGAACTTCTACCCCGCTACTGCATGATCAGTCTACAGCATCCGTCGAACAACTCGCAAAACTTCCATCGCATGCGTTTGTCGAACCGGTCAAGAATTGTAAAGCGGATCTTCTGTCCAATTCGAGTTCGTGCTCGCTGTTCAATTCATTTGGCCTAGCGAGACTGCGGAAGAATGCCGTTGTCAAAGCAAACTCTGTGATCAACCTTGTATTGCCAACGTCAATGGTATCGTCTTTCCTTGTGAGAAACTCATCGTGTTCTGACCTACATCCGCGAGAAGCTGACATCGAAACTTGCAAGTTATGCTTGGAGGAAATCCCTTCCACAGACAGGCTGCAACTCGAAAGATGTGGCTGCGTCTTCTGCCGGAATGTGAGTTCCTTGTGAATTTCATGCTCAGAATGTTTGATCAGTCTGTTAACGTTTGTGCAGTGTATGAAGGAGTACGCAGATTTCGAAATTCGCCGTGGAATCACCGTTTTATCTTGTCCGGACGCGAAGTGCTGTGCTCGTGGAATTTTGCTGGCGAACGAAATACGCTCTCTGGTTTCCGAAAACGTCATGAAGCTGCATTCGAAATTTGTTTTTGTAAAAGGTACTTCTTTGTTTTTCACCTCGGCGTTACGGAAAATGTTCAACCTCTTGGACTCTCATTAACAGGTGTAGAAAACGACCCAGAGTTGACATGGTGTCCCACCCCGGATTGCGATGGGGTATGCAAACGCAATAATGATGTGTTGAAAGAAGATGCAAAGCGACAGAAGCCTGTGCCGGAAAAACTCGTGTGTCCCTTGTGCAAGCGAACATTTTGCATTGCTTGTCGACGTGCCTGGGAAACTCACGAAAAAGAAGATGGGAACCTCATTTGTCCGCCTGGTTCCTTGTCTTCATTGCTCATTTCCGGGAGTAAAATCGAATCCCACAGACCACGAACGTCCGTCTTGTCCACGGCAGCGTCAATACGGTTATTTTCTATTTTTTTCAGTTGTATGTTTCATCATTTTGACGAAGTGTTTGTTAACGTTGGGTCTGTGGATTTTCTTGCATGAATCGGAAAATGTATATCTACCTGTATTTACTCGAATACCATGTCCCCTTGAATTAGGCGCGCACTTGGTTTTTCGCTTAAATGTTTGGTAAAATCGTATCCCCGACTAAGACGCGCATCCCCTTCTTAGTGACTAAGCCACGATATTTCAAAAATCGGAGCACCCAAATTTGAATTTGTACATGGAGTAAACTGGAATTCGACTACAGTAATTTTAAATTGTTTCATTGAAATGAGTGTTCCTGATGAGCTTGGTCCACAATTTCCCATTGGAATCAAGTATGAAGCACCCCAAAGCTTCTGACAATTCATAAAATATGTAAAACCACCTTTTATGCGCACCTCCGTTCTTTTCGTCTCACATTTCAGAAAAAAAGGTGCGTGTGGTACTCGAGTGAATACGGATATACTGTGTATATACAGTACACAATTCGTAGATTCTTCGAAGATTTAAGACTATTTATGCTAATGAATTTTATTACTTGGACAGATCATTGCATGCTCTGGATATTTGATTTATTTATTTATTTTTCTCATATGACAGATCTAAATGTCGCAAAAAATGGGCTGCATTGAGTAAGACCCCGGAAGACGGTGTTTCCAATGGGATAAAGTCAAAGAAGAGGAAAGATGCGTTTCTTCGTGGGGAAGGTTTGCCAGAAAACGAGTCCGCAGTGAGTGTGGAATCCGCATCGCATCCAGCCTTTCCCGGGTTCCCGTCTCCGGCAACTTCTGTCAAGATCCTGGACCCGGGCCTGACGATGCTGATGATCAAAGAATGCCCCAACTGCTTTGTGCCAATTGAAAGGAACGCGGGATGCGCGCAAATGATGTGTCGGCGGTGTAACCACATTTTTTGCTGGTTCTGCCTTGCACCCTTGGACGTGAGTGCGATAATCGATTGTTGGAGTATTTTCGGATTATTTGGGACCCTGCGTATTTCATTTTATTTTTATTTTCGATTTGCACTATTTCAAGAGGAAAAAACCTCCGTGAATATCTCAGGTGTGGCCTGGAAAACTATGATCAAACCTAAATTTAGTGCCCTCATTTTTCCTCGAAATCGAGGATATTTTATGAGGGGAAGGTTCAGTTGAGAGTTTCTACTGTGGGCAGAATGAGCTTGTTTAAAAATTGTTGGGCCGCTGAGTCTGTTTCGTTGAAAGAAAGCCACATGGAAGTACAGTATTTGAAGCTTGAATGTAATTTTTTATACTGCATTTCAGTACGCAGGTGGACATGCTCTACAACATAATTTAGGGGACCATGAAAAAAAAATTTTGGAGAGAATTTTGGTGTAGAAAACTTTTAATAGAATGAGTAAAGACCCCTGTGAAAAAAAAAAATTTCTGAGAAAATCATTGTAGATAAGGTTTTTGTAAAGAGTGTCTACCTATACAGTAAAATTTCATTACGACGAAGCCATTGGGACAATTAAAATAGCTTTGTTGGAATGAAAAATTTGTGTTGAAGTGTCCGTAGATGAAGTAATTAATGAAGGAAGGTGTCATTCAACAACATGAAATACTTCTATAAATTCAATGGAAGATTAAAAATTCTTGTACAGTATATTTCATCCCATTGAACCAGGTTAAGTCTGCTGGATAAATTGACTCTGTATTTGGTTCGTAAAATTTTCCAGTGTGCGGAAAAAAAATACTTATTTTTATATTTCAGGGTGACTTCTTGCTCCGGCATTACAGTCGTGGGCCATGCAAGGACAAGCTGGGACACTCGCGAGCAGCTGTGATATGGTACCGAGCTCAAGTGGTGGCGTTGTTTCTGGGCTTCGGGCTGTTGACCGCCGTGGCGGCACCAGTGATCCTCATCGCGGCGCCGTGTTTGCTGGCGTGCGGCGAATTGCGGCGTAAGAGGAATTCTCGCGGCGCCGACGAAGAACCCGTCGTGGTGGAAATGAGCAAACTAGACCCTGATTGCAATAACGATCTGTGAGGCTGTCGCACCTGGAAGAAATATTTAGTGTTCTCTCTCTCTGTCTTGGAATCCAGGAGTTTGGGCGTGGGTTTCAATCGTAGCTCAAAATGAAGTAATTTTTCTTGGAACAGGTTTCTTCAGTGTTGAATCAAGTGTCGCGTATTTTAGGAAAGGTGCAACTCGCTGCGAGGGTTTTTTCTGACGGGAAAAGTTACGTACAAGGAAAGGGAAATGCTTGGAGGTTGTCGATGGTTTTTTCAATTGAAAGCTTAACGCTTTTGACCCGCTCATCAAATGTCGTTTGTTCATTAACCGGGGTAAGCAGCAGGAAACTTTTTCTCGAGTGGGCCTTTTTTTCGGAATAATCTGTTATTGTGAGAACTTCTATCATTATGTCGTGATCCATGTGAATTTCTGCAAATGAGGATCAATCTTTTCAATGAGAGCTCCACTCCTTTTTATAGAAAGACAGGCTGAGGCTCTAAATATTTTCGGGATATTTGATTGCTCTAATCGTTGGCCATATTAACCTACAGTCCTACAGGCTTAATTTGAGCAAGAATGAAAGGAATGAAAATTTTAATTTGCTTCGGGTAATTTACCGAATGCGCGTGATTTCAGTGCAGTGGTTTTTGAGTTGAAACCAATCGATATTTATCAGTGTTCGTCGACTGCCCTCGAAATGTGCCAAATTGGTTATTTGCACTTTTACACCCAATAATTTGTAAGTGTGACGGCTACACTATCTTCATTAAAACTACCATAGTTTCATGATCAAGTAAAAAAAAAGTTCCCATGTTTTCATCGGATTCTGATCTAAAGTAGATTATTAAAAATCAGAATTGCTGTAATTTGTATACTTCGAATTTCAGAGCAGTTTATAATTTTGTGTGAAATCATTTGAATCTTTTAAACCGTCAGCAGAGTGCTGGGAATGAGAAAAAAAGTTGAAAAACCTGTTGGGGGGGGGGGGGAAAGTGCTATATTTAGCCAAGTACTGTACCATGCACCCCATTTTTACTGACTGAAAAACTGCAATATTCCGAAAATAAGACACATGAGAATTTAGAAATCAAATTTGAACGAGAATTCAACCTAAATTCATTTAATTTTCAATTGTTCAGATTTTTTTTAAGTTCTGGTCAAAAATGTCCCATTATATTCAAGTTTGACGCACAACTAAACTTCCAACATTTTTGGTCATTTTCATCCCCGTCTGACACAATTTCCTTTTGGAGCAATTTCAACATAATTTTTTATGAAAATTAATTGAATTTAGGTTCCAATCATGTCTGAATTCTGGTTTGTCTTATTTTTGAAATATGGCAGATTTTTGGTCACCTGATATGAGAGTCCAACTCTTACTTGGGGATAGGATTTTAGGCTGTAAAATCTATGCCCAAGTCTTTCCCATGGACCTGTGGTACTCAAATAAATTTTGTATTTAACCTTGAAAATAAAATCTGATTTTATTGATCGCCAGCTTTTCACCTAGCATCAATGCTCACTAAAACTGGCCCTTTCTGAAAATAAATCAACATGTTGAGAGCTTCCGTTGCCCTTGGAAAGTTTGGGTGTTTGATCGAGAATAATTGTCTGAATCTTACGCCACTCGGGGAACTGAGTCAGGCACAATTTACAAACTTCTTCCGCAAATGATTGACCCTATTTTGAACCCCGTGATGTGAGAGAGAAAGACCGACTTGGTTCGGATCGATTATCCTGTCTTTCAGGGATAGAAAAAGAAGCCCGTTTTATCTTCTCTGAGTAATTTAAGTTTGTGATGAACATCCTGTGTAGAAAAGACTGTGAAATGCCCCAAGGGAGCGCGATTCAAAAGCAGTAGGTGGAGAACCCAGGGTTTCCCTTTTGGTATCGCATTGAAATGGAGTGTTGAATCATCAGTTTGCTTTTTCCTTTTTTTTAATTTTAACCTTGGATGTGATTTTTACTTTATCTCGGTCATTTGAAAGCGTTTGCTCAATATTTGACCGCGGGAATTATGTGGAACCATTTTTAATCCGTAAAACACCGTCTGTCGCGGAGTTCAGCCGGAATTCAGTGTTGTCCTCCTTTTTTTGTTGAGTGATGATCGTTTTTCTTCAAAACGCCCAAATCGTGATGATTGTGACGAGACTTTGAAAAGTGTTTCATGTCGAGGAGAGCCGAGAGGAAATGAGAATTTCTTTGGGGCTCCTTGATGTGAATGAAGTGAACAAGCTGTTGGGGTGGGGGAAAGTTGGACAAAACGCTGATTGATAATTTTTTGTGATTGTTTGCTTGCTTGGGTTTTTTTTGCGTGTTCTCACGCTTTTCGTCGGCAAATAATATAGCGGGAATGTGGTCCTTGTCATGAAGGTTTTCATCAGTCCTTTGAAGCTTGAATCTTTGAATTTTTATGTACTTTTTGCGAGTGGGAATTTCTTGGTGCTCTTCAGTTCTTGGCCAACTGCTTTAACGTAAATGCGCATGTGCGGATGACCTGATTGAAATGAACTATGATGAAATAAGATTATACACAGGAAACTTGTAGGTCAGCCAATTTTTAGCAGTCAGTCATGAACTTGAGATGTGCAGTACATACCAGCTTTTTGTTTTTTGCTTGCCAATTGCAACGATTTCTTCATGGTTTTTCCAAGTTTTTTCTTCGCCTTCAAGGAATGAGGCCCGATGTCCGATCGGATTTTTGACACAATTGGGTGAGTTTATGTTTTCAAGTGATTCATTATATCAGTGTTCCCCAACCCGTGGTCCTTGGACTGGCGTCAGTCTGCAAAAGTTTTTTGCTGGTCCTTAGGATATTTTCTGCAAAATAAATTCATCAAAAGTTGTGATGAAGTCTGTTCTCTTTGCCTAATATTTTTGATGGACAATATCAGTAGGATTATCTGATGGAAGCAAAAGTTGGCTTTATTATTCATAACACTTCAGACAGATTTTCACCTGCAAAAATAAATTATATTATTCATAACACTTCAGACAAATTTTCACCTGCTTAAATAAATAATCTTAATTTTTCCTTCTGAGAAACCTTTCTCATTGTTTGATGTCATGTTCAACTGAATTTTTCTTGTAAATACCTGCCTAATAACATTCAAGTAAAATTTTGTTGAGTCTGCAAAAATTTTATGAAACTTTGCCAGTCTGGAGAAAATTTTTTGGAATTTGCCAGTCCGCAAAATTTTCATTTCAAATTTGCCGGTCTGCGGGCCCAAAAAGGGTTGGGGAACACTGCATTATATTATTCCTTGATTCTGTTTGTGCTGGGATTCTTTACAGCATCATTTGGAAGGTTTCATGATTTTTTCAACAATCGACGCCATTTGGAAGATTTGATGATCATACATTCGTTTCTTGTGTCTGACGGTGATTGTTTCCTTCGATGTTGGGCCTCGGAGAAGACATTTTCTGGATTTTGGATGCTTCAAAATTAATCACTTGGTGAGTTGCGCGAGCGATTGGAGACCATCTTAACAAATGATGCAATGATTCTCCTTGAAGACTTGCTTGTCGCTGAAAGTTTTACAGTCAATTGCTAACCGCTGATGCATTTTATGATATTGCACGAACTGAGGTGTGTTGTTCGATGTATCTGAAGCCTAAATTTATTTGCAGGTTTCCTTGTTGAAGCGGATGATTTTTCATTGGACGTGATGTTTTCTGCTTCGAAAATGCAGGTGAGTTTAAAAACTAATTCAAGGTAGTGGAACTATTGTAATTTACAGGATGATGAAAAAAGGATGTTTTGAAGACTTTCACGTCAATGAAGGATTTTTTCAATTGCAAACCGCTGATGATCCTTGAAATATCGCACTATTTCACGTGTAAATGCGTTGCGACTGATGTTAGTTTTCCTTGAAATGTTCGCAGGGTTTCATTGGACTACGTGAAGAACTTCCCTCGGGCATCTGGGACAAGAACATTTTTCTCAGGTGGGTTGAGGAACCAATTTCAAGATTCTGTATTTGAACCTTCATGATGAAATAATTTTCCTTGACGACTTACTTGTCGCTGAAGGGATTTTATCAATTGCAAACCGCTGATAACGTGATTTTAATAATCCGAAAAGTTCACACCTCCCTTGCAAAGAATCTATGATGCTTATTTACCTACGTTGCCTTTATGTTTATAGGACTTCAATGAAGAAAATGAAGGACTTCCATCTGGGAATTTCAAGGCTTTCCAAAAAAAAAATCATGGGTGAGTATTCATGAACCGATTTGAGATTGTTGAACTCGATGATGAAACGACTCTCCTTAAAGACTTAGTCAGTGCGAGAATTTTAGTCAATTGCAAACCGCTGATGCTTTCAGAATTTAATTCCTATTTTTATTTCCGTCGCATTCTATTTTATGATGAAATGTTTTTACTGTTTTCGCAGGGACCAGTTGGAGGAACGTGATGGAAATTTGGCGGGATCCTGTATGATGACATTTTTTGGCAGACAACAGATTCAATTTTGACAGTGAGTGGAAAAGAAATGAAGCCGTTTAATGGTGAAATAAAAACAGTTGATAATTCTTGATGATTAATCTATGAAAATGATCGCGGATCACTGACCGTATTATTTTTGCCTCAAATGCATTCATCTAAATTAAAATCGTCTTCGCGTTTGATTTTTTTTTCGAGTACAGTATTTCTGGCGATTTCTGGTACAGTAGTAATGTATTGTTGAAATGTCTGATCACTTAATTCAATTCTTAGTTGACGCGTAGATAATTAATTTTTTCTATTCATTATGGAGTACAATTCTGATGAGGTTATCCTTAAACCGTTTTTTTAGTTATTCGTGGAATTTAGTATACTGCGGAATTCTTTTTTTAATTTATTCCTCGGATCTTGGAATCAAATCGACGCCTAATCAGGTTTCAACGGTTTTCCGAAGCATTTTATGTTGTGATTTTCGCAACCATTTTGACTGAAGCTTCTTTTTTTGTTTTGAAAAACATTTGTTAAATTACTCACTCAGTAGGTTTTTTAATTGTGAACGAATTTTCCGCGCATAGGAAAGCTTATATTAAAATTGGGACGAGGAGTGAATAGCAAGGATGCATTAACGAAGTGTTTAAGCTCCTTTGTTTTTCCTTCAAATTGTAATTTAATTATGGAAAATGCTTTGGGTAATTTGGTCGAGAAAGTGCGTGAACGCATAATTAGTTCTGACTGTATACGGGCCTTTAATTTCATGGGCGCAGTCGAAAGAGAGCGCAAATAATAAAAAAAAGCTGTAAAATCCCGGAAATTGCGTCACTGTGAGTTCCTTTCACTTTTCCCTCGGGCACAGGAGCCGAAATGCCCCGCAACAGTTGCGAATCAACACTCAGCATGTTCACTTTGTTTTCTATTGCTCGCGTTTTTGGACGGGAATAAATTTAGTAGTGAAACGTGAGGATTTCAGGCCTTAAAACTCTTCATGAATGACCTTCAGAGCTGTGGAAAATTTGTTGACTATTTTTATTTACAATTATGCGTTGCAATCAGCGCTCGCGTGAAATTTTCGGTTGAAATCCTAAAATGGTCCGTGAACCGGGGAGAAAATGTGTTTACAGTGAAATCTGGTTACAAAGAAGCCATTGGGACCTGGAAAAAGTTTTGTTACGTTACTAGAATGCAGCAAGTTTCTTCGAGAAAAATTCGAATAACATCGTGGTTATTGGACAGGGGCCTGAAAAAAAATTTTCTTGTAATTGGTAAGCGATCATTTGTTATAACGAGGTTCTACTGTAATTTAATTCAGTTGAGAAATCAAAATTTTTTATATGGTTGTTGCTTGAAAGAATATTTTCAAGCAAAGTAATATTTTTACTTTGGATACGTTTTACTTATTTGAAGTAAAAATTGAAGTTTTTAAATGGAAAATTGTAGTTTTGGAATTAAAATTGAAGCTTTGAAAGTAAATTGAAGTTTTGAAAGTGAGAATTTTCTTAAATGCTTGTGTGCATTTTTTATGTGTCCCTGATCAAGTATCAGTTTTCAAATCTTGTAAAAACAGTTGAAGATTTAATCTGACCAATAAATCACCCTGTGTTGATGAATTGTGAGAAGATCCTTCTCCTTGTGAAAACTTATTTTTACTGAACTGGAAAAACTAAAATCGGAAAAAAAAGACTAACGTGAATTTTTATGGTGATGAGCCTCAGAAAATAAATCAAGAAAAATAAGCCTGGCTTAATGCTCTTACTTTTTTACTTTTTTTTTTATTTTTGCTGTGCATGATGATTGCATGATATAATTTAAAATTTTATTCAACAATTTATTTCTAATAACTCACTTATACACATGAGTGCGTGACTCCCTTCTTTCACTTGAGTTATTGTATTCCCGTTAAATTAGTGAAGGAACATGTGGTTACTTTCTTTCCATTCCTGGCAACCGAAGCCGAAAGAAAATTGTGTGTTCATATTTTTTTTTTCAGGAGAGACTGGAACGTAAAAGTTTATTTTGTCCATCTGTGGTTTTTGGCTGAAGCAGTTTTAAATGGAGACGCATTATAAATGACGAAGCATTATTTTCTTGTCCTTTTTTGTTTTACTTTTGTGGGATGAATATGTCTCAGAATTTTGAAAATCTTGATCAATGCGTCTTGTGAATTTCAAAATGCTTGGTAAAAGTGATGTTGAAACTGGGATCGGAAGTACCCAATCCTCTTGACTATATTGGCTTCATTCGATTGTTTTTAATACTGTACTGTACCGTGTTCACTGGCGCGTATTTTTTGTTTCTAAAAATTATTGTTTGCTTTTTCAACTGAAAAATTGAAAGTTTTAGACCCATTTTCATTCAACTTGAAGAGGTGTCTGAAATCGAATGTCACTATGAGGACAAGCGACCAACGAATTTTTCTGGTGAGTACTTGAAAATGAACTTTTTGAAATGGAGGTACAAAAGGGCCCCGAGATATGGACATACGGTAATTATTTATTAGGCTTTATCCGCATGTCAAGTCATATTTTCTGGTGAACTTTGATTGGAACATGTTGCATCACTTCTAATGTTCGGTAAAAAATAATTTTGAAAAGTCCTCTTGAAATTCAATATTTTTTTCTTAGCTTTTAAATGAAGAGAATAATTGTTCGGAAGAAAATCCAAGGATGAGCAAAAAATTAGCCACTTCTGGAAAATGTATTATAGTCAATTTATTTATAGATCTCTTTTCACTTTTTGTCACGGCAGGAGCTCCATCTGTTTAGATTTTAGAAAATCTCAATCGTTTGAAAATTTTACACATGTTGAGGCAGATGTTTTGAATTCAAGTGTTCATAAGTCAAATCTTCCAAATGTTGAAGTGTCCGTATGTCAAAGGCCCCACTGATGTAGAATCTCATTGCAAAAAAGTCATTGGGACCTGGAAAAAGCCTTGGTTACAAAGAAAAATACGTTTAATCGAGACTGAAATTACATTTTGGATTTTTGGAATGCCTTTACAAAAATAATATTGAAAATGAATGTGGGTGGGGAGGGGGTTTGGATGTGGGAACATTGCTTGAACCTGGTGAATGCTGAAAAGTGGAAAATACAGATTGCTGATTGATTGATTGATCAATCAAAAATGTTGTATCAAGATTCTACCTGGATTCAATGATGTTGAACAAGTTTTGATTTGTTATGGGTTATACAGTACTTGGTTCTGGGTCCAGAAAATATTCCTGGCCTTGAATTTTGATTGGGATGTTTTCATGACGGAAAACAAGGCAATAATTATTTTTCTTCATTTTCAGTTTGGGAGAAAATTGAGGCGTTTTTTATCACTCATTTTCCTGATATCCTTCCTGTTGACCATTTTGTCGCAGTCAACCGAAGCTGGCAATGGTCCAATAAAACCTTTGCACAAGGTGTATCCGTACTATTGGAAGTAAGTGTATCTCATTGTCAAATTATTCATCATTTGCTGAAAATATTGATCGATTTATTTCTAATTTCAATCGCTTTCAGGTCGAAGATCCGTTATCCATACTATGACAAATATGGTCGCGGGAAATTGTTGTACGGTTATGGTGGTCCAGACCTTTATGAATACACCGCCTTCAAACCCATTGATGGGTATTATAAGAAGTGAGACTGGCGCGGAATTATTTTTTTTAATGAAATTTTACTGTTTTATTCAAGACACTGTTTCATGTGAAATTGGAAGAAAAAAACTGTCAAATATCGCTAGAATCGAGATTTGGAACTGATGTCTTGGATTGAAGTTTTTCTTGGCAAGGAAAATTTCTTGGTTGTTCAAGTTTAGTGTTTTTGCCGGGGGGGGGGGGGTTGGGAAAGATGAAAGTATTTACGTCTTTTCCTCGTGAAAGAAGTGAGTGATCAAGCTGTTGGAAAAGGCGAAAAAATCGCTGATCAATAATTTCGTTTGATTGTTTATTTGATTTTATGTATATCTTTGGAGTGGTCTCACTTTTTTTTGCCGGCGAATAATATAGAGAAATTGTGATCCTTGTCGAAAAATTTTCGTCAGTTCTTGTAGTGTAATTCAAATTTCCAGATTTAGATGTACTGTACAGTACTTTGTTTACAATTGGAAATTTCATGTTTCATCTCAGTTCCTGTCGACTTGCTGCAGTTGCAAAATACGCTCAGGCTCTTTCTCTACAAGAAAATTCAGAGGACCAGGAATAACAACGTTGTAGAAGCAGACAACCATATGGGATCAAAAAGTTTGTTGTACAGAGAAAATCGTTTTTGGCAACATTTTTGTTGGGGGAGTCTACTGTCACTTTTTTCTGTTTGAACAACCATGAGATGGTTTTTCTGTTGGTTTGATATTTTACTGTACTGAATTACCTGTGTCCTTGATGTTTGATTTTTATTGTCTTCAACATAGATGTCGCTTGAAGTGTACTACGTTTTGTTTGTTGAGGTTAGCCTGGGGTTGATGGGTTAGAAAAGAGTAGTGCAGTAACATTATTTGCAATGCCTTTGGTTCTTCTGGTATGAAAATCCATGGCAATATTTCCCAGGGATGTGTATGTGCTGTGTCAAATCAATGACAATGAATTCATTTTTCATCATTCCACTAAACTAAAATTTGGCTTTTCAAAGTCGGTTACAGATGAGCAGCTGGACATGAACTGAGAGAGCAACAAATTTTCCTTTTGTGTTTGAAAAAATATTGTATGACGGTTTTATTAATGTGTTCCTCAGTTTTTTTTTAAATCTGCAGAAATAATGAAGGTCATTTTCCACGATAGGATTCGTCACACGATTTGGTGAGTTTCTGTTCTACGATATTTCTTGGTTCTGTTAGTGATGAGATTGATTTTTGCGGCAATAACTTATTCCCGGATGATGCGTAACTTTATTTTTCAATTGCGAACATCTTTCTCTATGTAGTGAGTTGTTATGCTTATGTGTATCTACTATTCAATTCTTGAAGCTCATTCCATCGTTTCTCGCCGATTTTTGCAAGTGCTTCGAAGGAGAAAGTTGGGAGATTTTGGACACTATTCTACGATTGCATTATTAGGTGAGTTTCAGAAAGGATTCAATTTTAAGGTTATTCAGCGGATTATGTAATGATTCTCCTTGAAGACTTGTCACGGAAAGTTTTTTTTTAGTCAATTGCAAACCGCTGATGCATTTTGTTATATTGTAAAATTTGGCACAGTTGTTGGATTTGTCTGATGCTGAAATTTATCTCGTTTATTAATGCACATCTTCAAGTGCATTTTTCTTGTAAATACCAGCCTAATAACATTCAAGTAAAACTTTGGTGAGTCTGCAAAAATTTTATGAAACTTCGCCGGTCTGCAGAAAACTTTTGGGAATTTGCCTGTCTGCAAAATTTTTATTTTAAATTTGCTGGACTGCGGGCCCAAAAAGGGTTGGGGAACACTGCATTATATTATTCCTTGATTCTGATTGTGCTGAGATTCTTTACAGCATCATTTGGGAGGTTTCATGATTTTTTCAACAATCAACGCCATTTGGAAGATTTGATGATCATACATTCGTTTCTTGTTGCTGACGGTGATTTTTTCCTTCGATGTTGGGCCTCTTCATCTCAGTTCCTGTCGACTTGCTGCAGTTGCAAAATACGCTCAGGCTCTTTCTCTACAAGAAAATTCAGAGGACCAGGAATAACAACGTTGTAGAAGCAGACAACCATATGGGATCAAAAAGTTTATTGTACAGAGAAAATCATTGTAGGCAACATTTTTGTTGGGGGAGTCAACTGTCACTTTTTTCTGTTCGACCAATCATGAAATGGTTTTTCTGTTGGTTTGATACTTCATACTGAATTTATGGTTATGTACTGAATTACCTGTGTCCTTAGTATTTGATTTTTATTGTCTTTTACATAGATGTCGCTTGAATTGTACCACGTTTGGTTTGTTGAGGTTAACCTGGGGTTGATGGGTTAGAAAAGAGTAGTGCAGTAACATTATTTGCAATGCATTTGGTTCTTCTGGTCTGAAAATCCATGGTAATATTTCCCAGGTATGTGTATGTGCTGTGTCAAATCAATGACAATGAATTCATTTTTCATCATTCCACTGAAATAAAATTTTGCTTTTCAAAGTCAGTTACATGAGCAGCTGGACATGAACTGAGAGAGCAGCAGATTTTCCTTTTGTGTTTGAAAAAATATTGTTTGACGGTTTTATTAATGTGTTCCTCAGTTTTTTTTTCAATCTGCAGAAATAATGAAGGTCATTTTTCATGATAGGATTCGTCACACGATTTGGTGAGTTTCTGTTCTACGATATTTCTTGGTTCTATTTGTGATGAGATTGATTTTTGCGGCAATAACTTATTCCCGGATGATGCGTAACTTTATTTTTCAATTGCGAACATCTTTCTCTATATAGTGAGTTGTTATGCTTATATGTATCTACTATTCAATTCTTGAAGCTCATTTCCATTGTTTCTCGCCGATTTTTGCAAGTGCTTCGAAGGAGAAAGTTGGGAGATTTTGGACACTATTCTACGATTACATTATTAGGTGAGTTCCGAAAAGGATTCAATTTTAAGGCTATTCAGCGGATTATGTAATGATTCTCCTTGAAGACTTGTCACGGAAAGTTTTTTAGTCAATTACAAACCGCTGGTGCATTTTGTTATATTGTAAAATTTGACACGGTTGTTGGATTTGTCTGATACTGAAATATATCTCGTTTGTTAATGCACATGTTCAAGTGCATTTTTCTTGTAAATACCTACCTAATAACATTCAAGTAAAACTTTGGTGAGTCTGCAAAAATTTCATGAAACTTTGCCTGTCTGCAGAAAATTTTTAGGAATTTGCCGGTCTGCAAAATTTTTAATTTAAATTTGCTGGTCTGCGGGCCCAAAAAGGGTTGGGAAACACTGCATTATATTATTCCTTGATTCTGTTTGTGCTGGGATTCTTTACAGCATCATTTGGGAGGTTTCATGATTTTTTCAACAATCAACGCCATTTGGAAGATTTGATGATCATACATTCGTTTCTTGTTGCTGACGGTGATTTTTTCCTTCGATGTTGGGCCTCGGAGAAGACATTTTCCGGATTTTGGATGCTTCAAAATTAATCTTTTGGTGAGTTGCGCGAGCGATTGGAGGCAATCTTGACAAATGATGCAATGATTCTTCTTGAAGACTTTCTTGTCGCTGAAAGTTTTACAATCAATTGCAAACCGCTGATTCATTTTATGATATTGCATGAATTCAGGTGTGTTGTTCGATGTACCTGATGCCTAAATTTATTTGCAGGTTTCCTTGTTGAAGCGGATGATTTTTCATTGGACGTGATGTTTTCTGCTTTTGAAAATGCAGGTGAGTTCAAAAACTGATTCAAGATAGTGGAACTATTGTAAATGATGACAAAAAAGGATGTTCTGAAGACTTTCACGTCAATGAAGGATTTTTTCAATTGCAAACCGCTGATGATCCTTGAAATATCGCATTATTTTACGTGTGAATGCGTTGTGATTGATGATTTTTTTTCTTTCAATGTTCGCAGGGTTTCGTTGGACGAGGTGAAGAATTTTCCACTGGCTTCTGGGACAAGACAATTTTTCTGAGGTGGGTTGAGGAACCAATTCACGATCCTTTGGTTGAACTTTCATGATGAAATAATTTTTACTTGACGACTTACTTATTGTCACTGAAGCAATTTTATCAATTGCAAACCTCTGATGATGTGTTTCGAAAAGTTCACAACTCCTCTGCATTTTGGTGTCTGATGTGAATACCTTTTTTATTTTTTCCCATCATTTCCTAGGGCTTCTGTAAGGAAGAAGTATGAAAGACTTCCAGTGGATTTTCAAGCATTTCGAAATAATTCATTGGTGAGTATTCGTAAACCGATTTGAGATTGTTGAACTTGATGATGAAACGACTTTCCTTGAAGACTTGAGTCACTGCGAGAATTTTAGTCAATTGCAAACCGCTGATGCTTTAAGGATTCGATCCATATTTTTATTTCCGTCGCATTCCATTTAATGGTGAAACTTTTTTGTCGTGTTCGCAGGGATTAGCTGAAGGAATGTCAGCAGTCACTCTTATGCCATGGCGAAGGAGTCACACTCGAATGAAGCCTCGGATTATGGACTGTGCATCAACATCAGGCAGGCTGTTGGAACACATTATGAAATACACATTGTTGTACATGCTTATACAATGTTATAATTTTTTGCAACCAAAGAAAAAAACAAGATTGAACCTTGAAAGTTAGTTGTAGTGAATATCAACTTCTAAAATTGAAAGAAGTAGCAGGATTAAAAGGCAAAGGGTGGGATGACATTTGAAGAAGTATACACCTTTTTTGGAATGTGCTCTTGTTGCGATGAAACAAGATGAATTGAATTTGAAAGGGGATTGCAAAAATCAGTTTCCTCATCTGCAATGTCAAGCAACAGTGCACCCCTTTCAATTGTAAAGCATAGTTAGATATAACACAGACCAGAAAAAGCACTGTCCACAAATGTGTAAATCTTCTTTAAGAAAAGGTCTTTTTTGGAACATGAATGCAAGATTCTCTTCAAGTTATTACTGAATTGAAATAATAAGACTGGATTGAAATAATAAGACTGGATTTGAATTAAGACTAACTGTGCTGTGATATAGATGATATTCATTATAAGCAAAGAGCAAATTGTTTGTGGCATTCTTGAGGACCTAATTAGCTTGTCCCTTGCAAACTTTGCCAACCCCAGAAATGGTCTAAAATTAGGCAGAGATTCAAGGGCAAAAATGTATTGGTCTAGATTCTGTCAGAACCAGATTTCTGGGCTGCAGCAGGAACAGATGCCAGTGTAAATATGCATGTCTTCCTCTTTTGATAATGTTTTGGAGTCCCTTTTCAACTTTGACTGATGGAGGTTCAACTTTAGTGCATTATACATATATCCCTAAAGTTGAACTTCATTTGAAAATAAAAGTTGAATTTCCTTACATTTTAAACCCTTCTTTAAAAGCAGTTTCACTTGTTCAGGAGACTGCACTACTTGTAGAATGGGTCTGCCTATTCTGGATTTCAAGTACTGCTGTGCAATGATTCCTCAAATGACTGTTGACACTACAAACAACTAGCAGGCTATACTGTGGCAGAAATAATTAAGCAGTGAACTGTGCACCTAACCTACAATAGTGTTGCAGTTTGGGCATGGTTTTTCTTGTGTGAAAATGGTAATTTCCATCTGTCTCAGGTCTCAGATAAGGTACTAATCAAACTGTTAAGGTAACCATCTTCCTTCTCTGGCAGATTTATTCCCTGTACTGTACTTTCATTGCGTCTGAGGAAAGCAACTGCATTTGCATCAAAAACGTAATTTTTGTGAGACAATTCCAGTACAGTACTTTTTATGCAGTCATCCATTACCCAAAACTGCGTCCTCAAGTTGAAGGTGTGCATAGTTTATACTGCACTAGCAGATATATCACCTGTACTTCAGCATTGGTGTCTGCATATAAGAACTGTGAGTCAGTCTTCAAAATATCCAGAGATGTGTAAAGGTTTCAGTACAATGTTGTCTTGGTTACATTTTGGAAAAAGTCAGAATTTTCCCGGATGCAGAGGAGTATGACAACTCTTGAATTTGTAGAAATTGAAATTTTTCAGAGGGCTGTTCTCCTTCCTTGAGTTTCTCTATACACTTGATCCAAAAAAAATTCTTGAATTCCTGGCCCATTGACCAATTCAAGTAAAAATTTTCTTGATTTTACTGGGCTCTTCCAATCAATGTTTTGGAACCAATTAAATTTATTTCTGTATTTCCTCAAAGAAAATTGCAATTTGGTAAACACACTTCGCTTGGTAATGGATCAAGTGTGTAAACCAAGAAAACCCATGCATTCAGAGGGGTACATTACCCTGCAGTGTGTGCCAGCAAAATTCTTTTATATCCACATGATACTGGAGTACTGGTTCATGTGTCTCTTTCCTGCCATTTGTACATGCCTGATGTTGCCTGCATTGAACACGGCTATACAGTATACTGTATATTCATGTAGTCACAAGTGCAACAGCTGATCAGTAGTACAATAGAGTCAGTAATATATCCTCCTCTATACTGTATACGTATATACTCCTGTTCCTCTCTGAGGAAAGCGTGTCGGCATCATGGGGATGTATATATAGGATCACACTGTTCCACGGGGGGAGAGATCCTCTGCGTTATACATTCGCGTATAT